CTAGAACCCTCAGTTTGTTTTTCAGAGTCCATCGTCTCTCATGGTTCGTCCACCCCTCCGATTTCCCCCGCTTCATTCCTCCCCTCCCGCTACCTGGGAGGAACTCACTTTTATGAAAGGTTTACCGTAGCCCTGTGCTGGATGCTTTCTTTCATCCTCAAAACAATCCCGCAAGGCAGGCACTACCATTCCCACCTTGCAGGAACGCCCACCGGGATAGGGGACAGGTGCCCACCGGGGTGGGATAGTCTGGAGCAGTTTGATGCAAAGGTAGGGCAAAGGACCAGGCAGCTGCCCCATGCTCTTGATCCCACGATTGATTTTTTTCACAGGTGCAAAGCCCTCATTAAAGGGAGAGTCTTCGTTACCCCTCCCTCCACTCTGCCTACCCGTCCTGGGACCTCCAGCTCTGGGGTAGGGTATGGCAGTTGCCCATCTTACAGGAGAGCCCAAGGGGGTTGGGGAAGACATAGATGTGCCCCGAAAACAGCGCCTTTCCTGCCCGCCTCTCTGGCCCTGCTCTCCAGATGTGGGAGGTTCTCAGCTTCGCCCGGCTCTGTGGTGCCCCAGGAAAGGTCTGCACACCTTAGAGCGTGGTCCGTGGGGGCGAGCGGGCTTGGGACAGCATGGGGGAGGAGGGCAGGGAGGCAGTTACAAGGAGCCGGGGGGCAGGGGTGCGAGTGACCACCCAGGCGCCCACTCCCACCTCCAACAATGAGGAGCAGAGCCTGCCGGCCATGGCAAGCTGACGGAGAGCTGGAGCGTGCACCGCCACATGGGGACGTGGGCCTGCAGACCTGTCCCTTCCTGTCTGGTTCCAGGCCAGCCTCAGGAAGTCTTGAGGCATGAGATGGACATAGTCAGCCTCCTCTCCCTTTAGGCCCTGTGTCTCTGCTGAGGCCCCGCTGCTCCTCACCTCTCTCCCCACTGCAGCCCTGCAACAGTCTCCTTGCTCCCAGAGGCTTCTCATTCTCCCACGGACGCCGGATGAATCTTTCCAGTATGCCATGGTACCCAAATCTCTCTCTGGGAGCTCAGACACTGTCAGTGGCTCTCAGTGACCTTCCCCAACAAAGTAAAACTCAGCCCAGAGGCCCCCTCCCAACCTGGCCCCAGAACACATTTAGTCCGATTGCCCAAGAACTATATCCGAGAGCCCTCTGTGCCCCACTCGGGCTCTGCCCTTCCCCTTTCCTTGAATCCAGGCCCATCACCTCTCAGTCCTCAAGTCCTAGCTCTCAGTGCAGCATCTACAGGGACAGGAGAGACGCTTCCCCGATGCCCCTGTGAGTGGTGGCCTCTCCTCTCGCCACCTTCTTCCCGCACTCAGGGTGGACTCCTGGGTGGCTGGCTGCCGCCTGACTTTCTCCCCAGCCAGACTGTAAGCTTCTGAGGGCAGCTGTAGAAGCCTGTTTCAGAGATGTAGAACCTTGTAGAACCCTGTAGAACCGTGTACCAGAGGTGACTGACCCCAGTGTCCTGGACAGAGCTGCTTCTCAAGAGGTGAATATGCAACTCAGAGGTTTGCTTTGCTGTGTCTGACTCACTCAGCAGCGCTCTGCTGAGTGCCTACCACGTGGTGGGCCATGTCCCAGGTGCTGGAAAGACGGCAGGGACCGGGACTTTGTCCCTCCAGAGGGGAGGACACCTAGCCAGCCACTGACCACATGCTGTGCTAAGGACCAAAGGAAGGGTCTGGAAGGCCTTGGGGGAAACAGAACCTTGGATCTACCCCAAGACCTGGAAAATGAGCTGGAGTTCGTGGCGGAAGGGGGGCTGGGGAGGGATGAGTGCTCCAGACCCCTTTTTGGCATTTGATTTTTAAGTTGTTTTGAAAAGCTTATATAGGCTTATGTGAATTTGAAAGGTACAAAAGCATCCAGAAGGAGGAGTAGGGTTTCCCCTCACTTGCATGTTGTTGGGGCCCCCTAGGTGCCCTCTCGGGACCCCCCATGGCCCATTCTTCACATACCTTCCAGAGACAGTCACACAGATAACAAACACGAGCCCCTGCAGCTCTTTTGTGGCTTGGTCCACTCCAGGCCTCTTGTCCGCTCTGAGGCCCCTTCCTTGCCATTCCTGCCACTTGACAATGGGGCCCCCATTTCCCTGGAGACCTGGGGGCCTGTCATTAACTCTGTTCCACAGGGCCTCACAGTGGCAGGCAGCCTCAGGGGAGCTAGCGAGGGTCCCAGGGGAGGGCTCTGAAGGGCTACCGGGAGGACAAAACTTAGATCTGGGCTTTTCCATTCCCCAGAGACCAGCAAGGACCAGCTCTCTGACCCCCAAGCATCCCCATCATCCCAAACCAGGAGTGCCCAGATGACCTAGCCAAACCCATGATGTCTCTGACTCCACAGACACAGCCCATAGCCCCTTAGCTCTGGGCCTTTCCATTGCTTTAAGTCAGACCACCTTGTGGAGCTTGGTCCAGGGACAATCCTGGAAAGAAGGGACTGGCACTCTCTCCCCATCAATTGGGGTTCCATCTGCCCCTCTCACAGAATTCTTAGCCCAACCAGAGTCCCTCCCTTAGGAAGTCACAGGGGCTCATACACTGGTGGGTGCTGGCGTGTTTGCCTTAGATGGGCAGCTCAGAGGCTCAGGGACTGTCCTGCTGGAAGGGCACAGGCAGGGCATGGGCACAAGGGCTGTGGGGGGCTGAGCCTTCACCCTACCTGATTTGTTCTTGTATTCAATGTCGAAGCCCGTGATGATGCTGTTCCCGTCGAATCGCTGGGTCCAGCGCAGGTTCATGCTCCGGGCCTTCACCTCCCGGATCTCCAGCTCTGGGGGGTCAGGGGGCTCTGGGGAGTGGCAGATGGAAGGAGCAGAAGTGAGGACGGCAGCAGAGAGCTTGGCCCCCTGCCTATCTCCAGAGAAGACCAGGGTTCTGCTATATCCCTGGGGGTTGGTGACAACTGTGGTCTACCCAAGAGTCCTGAACCTTGGGGTCTGGGCAAGGTGCGACTGGGAGGCCCAGCAGCAGGGCTCAGAGCCAGAAGGGGGCCAAGCTTGGTCTCCTGCTTTGTTACCCTCTCTTCCTTGGCCTGGGGGAGGACAGGTCCTCTTGAGGGATTTCCTCTGACCTGAGAGGCTGCTTGTCCTCCATGAAGAGCTCCCAACTTTTCCCAGCTCGACTTTCCCTTCTCTCATCTCCTCCAGCATCTGGGCCCACAAACCCAGATACCTCCACTTCTGGAAGCAGCAATGTGTTCTACAGTGATGGTGGTCATTGTAAACCTTGTTGTCTGAAATGTGCCTGGAAGGGCCCTTATTGCCCCACTCTGGCCAGAAGGGAGAGTGGATGAAGGCTCTTCCCAAAGGCCATTTCCCATCATCCTCCACCACGGTTTGGGTGATGCCCCTGTTCTTGAGGTGGAGTTAGCAGTGGGGACCTGGCTCCCTGGGGAAGGGGTAAGGAATGGTGGGGCAGGTGAGGGTACCTTGCACAGTGAGTTGGATCAAGCCCCGGTCCTCCCCATATGAGTTGATGGCATGGCAGCTGAAGAACACAGAGTCCCCACGGTCAGCTGGCTTGAGCTGGGAGGTGGCCAGCAGGGGCAGGAGGATGGGGAGAGAGGGAGGAAATGGGGAGAGTGTTTTAGAACTTGTCTGCTGAAGCAGGCCCACTCTCGTGGGGATAAGCAAGGCCACTTCTTCTGGGAGGGGGACCCATAAGGGGCTTTGTCAAGGGCTCCTCGTCCCAGAAAGTTCCAAGGATGGAGGTTGGAAGAGTCCAGGCATGAAGGGGCTGAGGGGGTCCAGGAAGAAGAAAGAAAGGAGCTGAGGGGTCCCAGGAGAGAGGGGAAAGGGGGCTGAGGGGTCTCAGAAGGGAGGGAATGGCTGAGGGTCTCATGACAAGGGGAGGAACTGAGGAGTCCCAGAGGGAGGGAGGAGCTGAGGGGTCCAGGAGGGAGGATGGAGACCAGGGGTTCCAGAAAAGGGAGAAGGGCTGAGGGTTCCACACATTTAATGGCTGTGGGGTTGTCAGGAAAGACACATAGTGAGGTTCTAAGGCAGAGGTTCCTGAATAGGCAGGAAAGGGAAGGTGCTTTTGGGGGTTGGGGGAGGGGCTCCCAGATCCCCATTTACCTCCATTAGATACAGATGTAAAACTGTGAGATCCCCACTTTCTGAAATTTGGGGTCCCCCTGAGACTGGGGCATGGTCGCTCACCTTCAACGTGGAGACAACCTCGTCGCCGTTGTCCTTGGTGGTGATGGCGTACCGCATGACTCGGTCGGGGTCGATAACCGTGTCCCCCTTCTCCCAGCGGATGATGATGGGCCGCTCACCCCGCGCTGTGCAGTTGAGCTCCTTCGCGTGGCCCTTGATGGCGATGGTGGTGTTGGGGTGGGAGGTGATCATGGCTGGGACTGGGGAGGGGAGGAGGGGCAGGAGGCCCCAGTAAGAGGGGAGGCCAGGCTGGGGGAGGGGCGTGTGCCCTGCGCAGAGCCCCCCTCCGTTGCCCCTCCCCGCAGAGCGCCTCAGCCCCAGGGACAGGGTCCAATAAAAGTTGTGGGGTGGTGCTGTAAGAAACCCCACTGGCCTGTCTCCCTTCCCCCCTCCCCACCCATGACTGGAGTGGCCTCTCTCTTCTCCAGGGATTCTCATATTCCATGGACCCCTCTCCAGAATGCTTTAAAATGCACAATATACATAGATTTACAAAGGAAACCAGATATATCGAAGTACGGTTATACAAATATTAAAAACCTTCAAAAGCAACCTTTTCATATAGTATATCATATATCAATATGTTTTTTATTACTCTTTATCAAATACGATCTAGTGCTGAGCTTAGAGCAGCACAATGCTGTAACAGCGATGAGCATGAATGCTATGTGGAGACACGTGCAGGAACTGCGGTGTGAAAACATCTGTGGATTTCTCTGGGCGAGAGCCCCAGGTCCTGCTGCTGCCGGGCTTTGTTGTTTATATTCGAAATGGAAGGAAATACTACATTTCAGTTATAAGTTAGTGGAAGAAAAGGTGTGCCCTCTTTTCTGACCCCAATTCATGGACTCCTTGAATCAGATTCATGGACTTTCTTTGGGGGGTGGTCTCTGGACCCCGGGTTAGGAGCCCTGCTCTAAAGCACTGGGGCCTCTGCTTTGCGTTCATGGCTCAGGCTCTCTCCATGGCTCTGGCTCAGCTGGTTTGCTCCTCTCAAACTGCTGAGAAACTCCCCTGTTCTTCCAAACAAAATGCAACAGAAAAGCGTGGCGAGCATCTCCACGATTAAAGTCCCCCCGGCAGTGCTAACCGGTCTGTGACCCTCCCCACTGCCGCCTCTACCACTGACCTGGGAAAATCATCATGAAACAACCAGGGCCCCAGCTGGCCATCAGGACACCCCTCCCACTGCCCTGAAAAGAAGCTTCTAGATCTTGACCCTCTTCTGGGCCTGAGCACCTTGCAGCAGCAGCAGGAGGAGAGTAGCAGAGGGAAAGATGATCTTGGCTGCCAGTGAAATCCCACCCCCATTCTCCTCCATCCAATTCAACAAATATGCATCGAGTGTCTATGCCAATACATGGCACTGCGCCAGGCTTGGGGGGCAGCACCATGATGTGAGACGGGGTCCTTGCCTGGGAGGAGGGGGAGGAGTGGGAGAAGGGAGGGGGAGCAAGACAGCTGCATAAGCAACACGAAGATGAGGAAGATGTGAAGAGTACTGCACAGAGGTATTAGAAGAGATTACCTGTGACTGAGGGCTATCTGGGAAGGCACCATCCAGCCATTTTACAAGCATTTTGGGGCACCTATTATGTGCCAGGTCTTGTGTTGGGATCTAAATGAATAGGACACATCGGATCTCAAGGAGTTTCACGGTGGCAGTGAGAACAGACAACAAGACTAGCAGTTCCAGCACAGAATGGTAAGTACTAGGCTGGGGAAATGCACACAGACACAGCGGGGTGTCGATGGGGAGGAAAGGGTACCCTAGCCAGTGGGACCTGCTCGAGCAGAGGCAGACCTCGGAAAGGTGAGGGGTCTGATGCAGCTGGAAGACTGTTCTTGTCCTGGCCTTTTCCTCACTACCTTCCTGGGAAAAGCTGCCTCTCAGAGTGCAGGTCCCCAGGGGCTCTTACCCCACCCAGGGTGCCCATTAGCCATCCCGGAGCCCACACATTGGGCTGGGCAGTGCTTGACTGTGAGACTGTAAGAATCAGACCCCATTCCACCTTCCCGCCCCCACCCATGGTGGAAGAGGACCCCTCCTCACACTGAGTTCTGCAGAGGAGCACCTCACAGACCCCATCACTGGCCTGCTTGGGCAGTTGTGCAAGAGAGCTCCCCATCTCCTCTGTCCAGCCAGCCCCCCGCTCCCCTCTGGGGCACCGTGTCCCTACTCTGCTTCAGTGGCCGACCCTTTCTTTTCCTCCCAGCGTTCTCAGGATCTCTCTCCCTTCCAGCTTTGAGGACCTACTCAGACAAAGTTCTTCCCAGCAAACTCTCCTGGGTCACCTGACTCCTAAGGACAAAGGAAGCCATGCAGCCATAACGATGTGTCCTGAGACACCCATCGCTGGGCGAGGAGACATCTGGAGCAAGTGTGGGGGATGAAGGGTGGTGTCTGGTGCCCCTGAAATCACACCGTGCAGCCAGCCACCGCCTCTGCCTGCTGTCATATGGGACTCGACACCGAGGGCAGCCCTGGCCCCCGGCCCCTGCGCCAGCCTCTCAGCCAATCCTCGCCCCAGCTCGTCAAATAATGAAGCAGATAAATTTTATAATGCACAGCATTACACCAGGATATACAATAAAACGCGAAAGACAAATAACGAGGTGCAAGTTATAATGAAGAAAAAGCCTGCAGTCAGAGACATCCAAGTATGAATTATTGACTAAGGTTTTACACTCTCAAGGATGTGTGGAGGAATATTTTCCATCAAAGATTTGCATAATTCACTCGTATAAACCTGGGTAGAATATAGAGTAAGATTTTACATCAACAAGTCGGGCTTTGCATTGCAGATGCCTCCATTTGTTCTGGAGGACTGAAATGCAGGGGTGTGGGGGCAGGGGCACAGGGGGGTGGGCTGTGAATGGTCAGAGATGGGGGCTGGGGACCCCTGGGTGGGCCAAGCCCTGAGGCCTTCCTGGGGAAGAGGAGTTCTGTTTCTGAGATGCTGCTGAAACCACGGAGGAGCTGGGGGATGTCCATGCAGAAGAGTGTGTGTGTGTGTGTGTGTGTGTGTGTGCGTGCGTGCACGCACGCGCACGCGCGCATGCATGCACGTGTGGGGGTGGGAGCAGCATCAAGTGTCAGCAGAGGTCAGAGGCCTGAGAAGTAGGGGGAAAGGAAAAGTCTTTCTCTGAAGGAGGACTTCAAGGCTCTGCACCAGAACAAGAAACTTGCAGCACATCCCTGTTTTGCTCTAGGCAGAGTTGCGGTAGCCTGTCCAGGGCACAAGTGTGAAGGATAAAGGCACCCATTTGGCTGGATGCATCCTGGTGCCAAGAGCCATAGTTTGGCCAGTGGAGCAGGAACTGGGTTTCAGACTCCACTTGCCCCTTAGGCTATGCACCTTTGAGCAGTGCACAACCTGTGCATCTATACGTGTCAGTCCCACCCGGGGAATCTTCCCAATCACCTTTGTTTAAAGAGACAGACATGGGGGCAACCAGAGACAATGGGGCCTCCAGGGATCCCACTTTGTCCTTTAGCTCTGAGTAACAACCACACTTGGGGCCTGGGGTGGGTTCCCTTCCCTACTGTTATTGCAATGAGCATCATGCAACACAACCCAATGCTGTCCTCATAGCCTCAAAGCTCAGAGCATGTTCAGGGGAGCCCATCTCAGAAGAAGAGCCTGCTTCTGTGGCTTCTCACCAGCTTGAAGGGATTGGGGGCCAGGCAGGCGTGGGTTCTACTTGTGTCTTCACCAGCTATGTAGGCTTCAACACACTCCAGTCAACTTCTGTGAGCCTCAGGCTCATCACCTGTGATATGAAGACAGGATACCTCCACCCACAGAGTCGCTATGGGGGCAAATAGGGACCCGAGGGCTCTCCTGCCCTGCTCCTGGTCCACAAAAAGCACCAGATAAGCACATGCCCTCCTTAAGATGTGACCTGCCAGGCTATTCCACAGAATCCCAGAGCCCTAGAGTTGGAGAGCCCAGATAATGTTCAATATGGCAGTTATGAGCCACATGGGCTACGGGGCACTTGAAACGTAGCCTCTGCAGGACTGAGATGTGCTGTAAGACGGTAGACGCACACTGGGCTTCAAACACATAGGAAGAAAACAATAAGGTAAAATGTATCATTAATAATTTTGCATTGGTTACATGTTAATATTTTAGATACATTGAGTTAAATAAAATATGGTTGACCCTTGAATAACATGGATTTGAACTGCATGGGTTCACTTATATGCGGATTTAAAAAAATAAGTACTGTGAGACTGTAAGAATCAGACCCCATTCCACCTTCCCGCCCCCACCCATGGTGGGAGAGGACCCCTCCTCACACTGAGTTCTGCAGAGGAGCACCTCACAGAGCCCATCACTGGCCTGCTTGGGCAGTTGTGCAAGAGAGCTCCCCATCTCCTCTGTCCAGCCAGCCCCCGGCTCCCCTCTGGGGCACCGTGAGGCTCTGACCATTCACAGCACACCCCCCTGTGCCCCTGCCCCCACCCCCCTGCATTTCAGTCCTCCAGAACAAATGGAGGCATCTGCAATGCAAAGCCCGACTTGTTGATGTAAAATGTATTTTCTCTTCGTTATGATTTCCCTAAGAACATGTGCTTTTCTTTAGCTGACTTTACTGTAAGACTACAGTAGAGAATACATACAACATACAAAATAGGTGTTAATCGACTGTTAATGTTATCAGTAAGGGTTCTGGTCCACAGTAGGCTATTAGTCGTTAGGTTTTGGGGGAGTCAAAACTTATATTTGGATTTTTTACTGCTTTGGGGGGTGGCACCCCTCCCCCCTGTGTTGTTCAAGGTCAACTGTTTACTATTACAATGAATCTCAGCTGTTTCTTTTTACTTTTTAAACATGCGACAATGAGAAGCGTTCAGATTACCCAGATTACTGGTATGGCTCGCATTTTGTTTCTGTTGAATGGCAGGGTATGGAGCATCTACCGGCACCCTTCGTTTTACAAATGAAGAAACTGAGGGCACACAGGGAAGCGATCCGCTCACAGGTCCTACTGCTAGTAAACAGCAGGGCATCTGAGAGGCGGTTAGATGGCAGAGGGCAGTGCTTACCACACAGAGCTGCCACCCCGGAGGAGGAAGCTAAGGCAAGGCTGGGAGAACGAGTCCCCAGTTCTTTAGCATTGTAAGCACAAGCTCCAGATGACTCACGAGGGCTGGTTCTGGGCACTCCACTTGATGGAGGACATTAACAAG